TGATCACAATAGGAACCAACCAATCGAGCATACAGCGAACGAAGCACTTGGCACTACGCTTCTACTTCCTACGCGATTTGGTCAGAGGTGGAAGGTTCAAATTGACTTACATGCCAAGCAGCATCATGCCAGCCGATGTGTTTCGAAGCACGTGCCCGGAGACAAGCTGCACAATGCAATGAGTTTTAAGGGCATGGGAGGTCGTTGTGGTTTCTGCCCACAAGTTCACGTCCATTCGTACACTACCCTATCCCTCTTGAAGGCGGCAACATCTAGAACGACGGAAGCAGACAACCGGAAAGATCGCAGCACAAAGATCAGCGGCATAGTTGCATTTCACTTCCTATTACAACTACTTGCAAAGCTAACCCCGTATTTGCAAGACAGACAAGAGATGGAAGTCAACAGTTTCGGTTACCTCGGAAGTGAATGGAGTCCTTGCGACGCGCAGGGACTCTCATGGCGAATGTGATCTGCCCTGCGGCGCTTCTAAGCTGAGGTTTAGCTACCGTGCATTTTTTACCAATTATATGCATGTGTTTTTTGGTTGGTCAATGGTTGTAAAGTGTCATCACTACGAGCACAAGGACCTTCCAGAATACCAACACACATTCCCGTACGTGGTTACTCGTCATCTTCCACACTGATTGGATCGATTCCTGCTTCACCTAGGACTGTGATCATGTCGTCCGACTCCTCGTCGCCCAGCGCAGCTGCTTCGAGTGCCTGCGCGAACTCGTCGATGCAACGAGCGTCTTCAACTTCCGCTGTCAGGACACGACGCAGCTCAGCAGACGTCATCCCGTCCAACTTGACCGTGGCTGCATCGAAGACATCGCTCGGGACCAACACGTTCTCCGGTAACATCCCCTTGCGCTCTTCCTTGTGCTTAGACATGTGTGGCACCTTATAGCCATTGCCGCCGAACAGCTTCAAGGTCTCTACCAAGCACGACTGAAGCGTCAAGAACGTGTGATTCAAACGCACCAAGGGGTACTCCTCGAACGCGCACCCTCGTGGCCAACGAGCTCGTCAATTGTGCGCGCTGACTTGCGGTGTTGTAGGGATTGGATGGCCGCAAAGAAACCGAGATCCAAGACGTTTGTGTCCGGAGAGTTTGGCGGCTGCGGGGCGAGGGACATCATCCAGCCCAACGACCGGTACGTGTTGAAGGCGGATTGGAGCTCGGGGTCCGATGGCGTAACATGAGCTCGGGCATTGTCGTGCTGCGTTTGAAGGTGTTGTCGACCTGTGGCCATTTGGCGATGACGGCAGGCAAGACCTTTTCCAGCAAGACGGTACGGTACACGTCCTTTGTCACGACGACTGACTTGGTTTCGAGGGTTCCAGCTTTACGGTTCACATTGTCACGTTGCGCTTCGACGGTCGCCACAAATGGTCATACGCCGATCTTGCCGTCCCACCACTTGTCGGTGACGCAGTCGAACCGCGGACGAGCCACAGCGCAGAGGAACATTACTTTCGTAATATACCGTTTGCTTTTGCACTCTCGTTTTGGCTCTTTCTCTCCAGGTACGAGATAATACTTACGGCTGACCTTGGTGAAGTAAAACCACTTCTCATCCAAGTGCACGTACTGCAGCATATTGTTCAGCTCTAACGAACTGGACCGCATGCTTCAAACGGACGAACTTGTTTGCGTCAGTCAGACATGGTTTAATCGCGT